TGCTCAAAGCATCTACCTCAAGCAACAATCGACGAGTTATGGAGTAACTCTAAACAAGGTACCTCCGGTTTGTGACAATACTAGTGCAATAAACTTAACTAAGAATCCTATTCAACACTCTAGAACTAAGCATATTGAAATTAGACATCACTTTATTAGAGAACACGTATCTAGGGGTGATCTGTGAGATTTTATTCGTTGAATCTGAAAAACAGTTAGTCGATTTATTCACTAAACCACTTCCTAGAGATAGGCTTAATATGCTTAGGACTGAATTAGGAATTCTAGATATATCTAGTATTGCATAACTAATTCGTTACAATGATTGTATGCTTTTTAACAGGCTGATAACAAGTTCAATCGATTAATAATTGCATGAATAACTTGATATTATTTGTTTCAATCGATTGAAATTGTGAAATAATCTGTTGATTTTCTGATTCTTACTCACTGATATTGATGTGTTAGTAGTTCAATCGATTAAATAAGCTTTTAATCAATTTATTTCATTAATCTTGTAGCTCTGCACACTTTCTTCTATAAATCAATCGATTAAATCTTCGATTCAATCGATTGAATTCACTAATGGTACTCTGAATAATTTTCTTGTACAAAACAATCAATTTAACTTTCAATTCAATCGGTTTATTTCACTTATAAGTATCTGCGATTACAAAATCAATTGGTTTCACGGAATATCAATTGATTATTTTTCTTCTAGGGCTAGTTGTATGTACTTTGTCTCTAAACAATTTCTGCAGAGTGGATTGAATGCATTTACAACAAGATAAACTTCAACTACTCTCTTAAATATCAAAGATATCCAATAAAAGTTGATTGACTCGATTGGATATCAGATGTGAGGGTAATTAAAGTATACGGTAGCAATTCTCTCTCCTCTTTATCATCACTCGCACGTAAACAATAAATCGAGTAAAGACAAAAATTTTTTTGAAGGCGATAAAGATTGTGTATTCTCATTCCTATAGTATTATTTTCTTCTTTGAACTTTCTCTTTTCTCGGTTCTTCTCTGTTCTGCTAATCCCAAAGATCAAGTATGCTCAAGCGCACAAAGTCTCGGTAGGAAGAAGTCCAGCAGAGGCGAGTCCTCTACGGCAAGGCAAGAACAAAATGTTGGAGGAAGGATTGAAACTTGGTTCAATGGGGACCAAGAGAAAATGGATTTGTTTATCCATGAATTAAGCGGGAAGCAAGTCAACATTCCAAAGATGTTAAAGTTCTCCTGGTTAGATGCCGAAGGATTCGAGGCATTCGGAAGTTACTCGCAACATCAAAAACTTCGGACGTTTACGGAGTTGAATGGTAGAATTTACCCCGACTTAATTAAAGTCTTTTTCACTAACTTGTCCTTTGAAGGTTCCACTCTAATAACTCAAGTAAAAGGAGTAGACATTGAGATAGCACCTAATGTCCGGAAGGAAGTTCTTTGGAATAAAAGATGTAGGTGTGAAAGTCACCAAAGGGTGTACTTCGGATGTTGAAGAATTTAATAAAGTTCAGTATTTCCGCTCTTGCCTGAAGAATAGGCATGATTACGTAAGTTCATTCAACACTGGGAAGTTGAAACTGGAAGAAAGGATTCTCGCTTTCATCGTTTCCTGGCAGCTTACACCCGGGGGAGCAATCATGCGATGCTAAATGAAGGAGATTTAGTATCGATGTACTGCATTCATCACGGAATCACGAGTGAAGCTGGGTCTTCGTCATCAAGGATCACATGATCAAAGCCAAGAGACTTAGTGATTTCGGGTATCCCTATGCTATTCCGATTTCTAAATTTTTAACACATTTTGGTGTCGATGTAGAAGGAGAACTTGTTGAAATCGTCCGACCAACAAATGAAATAAACAATTACGTTCTTCACAAAATGGGGTTCATCAAAATTGATGGTGAATGGATTTCCAAAGAAGAAGGCTGGAAAAAGTGAAGAAAGTGAAGAAGAAGAGCAAGAGGAAGGAATCAACACCGATATTCCCGGAACTTCGCAAGCACGTCCGTCTGATCCAATGGAAGAAGTGAACCCAATGGAGATGATTCCATACAATCCACCGCTTGACCGTGGCACTCCTCTCGTCTCGGTTCGAAAGAACAATGTTACATCAAATGAGCGAACTGCAACCCGACCAAAGGAGGCATATGGAGATGACTCGTCGCTCCGAGGGCTCGACGAGCATTATTTGGATGAAAATTTCATTGCAAGGTTCCGAGCATATTGATAATCAACTAGAAGATATTTACAACGGGATTGTGGAACTTCAATTCAATCAAGGCCCCGGGGACGAATGAAGATTTTCTTTGTCTCTCGTTATTCGTTTTTAATGTTCTGTTTTATATTCGGGGTATCCACGTGGCCCCATTGGACTGTAACTAAAACAATCTATTTGATGCGATCAAATAGGGGAGAAGTATTTTGCTTAAAGCTGTCACTACACACACACCACAAAATATATGTCTCTGGTCTGGTATTTTTGTTTTGCAGGTGCAGTGGTTATTTGTCTCCATCAAATAGGGGGAGATTGAAGCACTTGGTGGATTTGATGAAGACATAGATATAACTTAGGTTGTGGGTGTGTAGATGATTAGGGTTTTAAGTTTAAGCACTTAATCTCTTGATAGGCCATTATATTTTGTGATAAGCACCTTAAAATGTTGCATCTCATTGAAAATCATTTTTCTGCATGAAAAACTTACGTTTAAGTATTAAAAGAATAAACTAAGTTTTTTCAATCTGTTGAAAAGGATTTTCAATCTGTTAAAATCACTTAACATAATAAATGGTCATACATAATCGAAAATTCAATTGATTGATTCGCGGAATCAACAAGTTAAAATAACTCAATGAATTTTCAATATCAAGTTTTGCATTTTCAATCTGTTGAAATGATTTTTAAATCTGTTGAAACAGAAAGATTTTTTTCAGTCTAAGTTTTTAAAAAATCAATCTGTTGAAATATTTTTCAATCTGTTAAAACAGAAAGACTATTTTTTCAGTCTAAGAGTTTTTCAGAAAATCAATCTGTTGAAATAATTTTTAATCTGTTAAAACAGAGAGGCTATTTTTTTTTTTAACTAAGTGTTTGCAGGAATTTAATCTGTTGAAATGATTTTCAATCGATTGAAACAGAAAGCTGTCATTTTTCATTAAGTTGTTTCAATCCATTAAAAACTCGAATCAATCGATTGAAATGGAGCTTTAAATGAAATCAATCGATTGAATCGACGTTTTAATCGATTGAAATGTATTCTGATCGATCATAGTTTATTGATCGATCATACGATCGATCGATCATAGTTTCATTCTGATCGATCATAACTCGGTCTGATCGATCATACTTCAGTTCTAATCGATCGAGTCTCTTCTAAAGCTGTTTTACTTCAATCTAATCAATCTTTTGACTCTCGAAACAGTTTTTGACGGATGAAAAGTTATGATTCTATGTTTTACTCTCTATATACGAGAATTGATATATCTTTTGAGATACACAATACAACACACTACTTGAGAAAACTTGTGAAATCAATCTGTGAAACTTTCATACGTGACTTTCTCTCGCATTCAAGAATCTTTTCATATCATAAGGTCGTCGTGATCAAAATTGTGGTCAATCAAAGAGAGAAAGTCGTTGTTAGAATTGGTTCTGGACAACTAGAAACTTCAAGTCCAGGTTTTTTCTTTTCATATTCTTTTGTAAAAGTTTGATTGTGCAGGTTGGATTGTAATCGCACTTGGTACGATGACTTGGATTTGGTTACTTGGGTGGTTTTCAAGATTCTGTCTTGTGGGTTTTGCAAGATAGTTCTTGGGGTAGATTGGTGAGTATCTACTGGTTGTAATTTTCACTTGGTATTAGTGGAACTTGACTGGTTTGTCAAGAACTGGATGTAGCTCTGGATTAGAGTGAACCAGTATAAATTTGTGTGTTAATATTCTTCTTTCATCTCTTTTATTTTCTGTCTTTAATTGTGCTGTGTTTAAACCGAGTTACCTTTGCAAATATTGAATAAAGATAACTCATTCTTCCAAAAGAAAGTAAGTTTTGCGAAAAAGTTTTAAAGTTCAATTCACCCCCCCTCTTGAACTCAACCATTAATTCTTTCAAAGTTTGTTTACCTTAGGATATAATAAGAATCTAATCATTCCTCTAAAGGACTATTTAGTCTGTACATTTCTTACTTTGTGATTATCCTTGTGTTCTAGATATGATTAAATAATTTTGTAACGAAAGTAATATAATGCTAGAAATTGTATAAGTTGTGTCCTCCAGAAAAATTTGGGTAATATTATTTAAAATTTGATTTTCACTAGTTAAATGTTAGGAAATAGGAAAAATTTTGATGTTTTAAGGTGAAAATAACAATAAAGTAAATGCCGTAAAATTATAGTCCTAATTTATTATATATATATATATATATATATATATATATATATATATATATATATAGTAAATACAAACATGTAAATAAAAACGGTAAATATAATTATGGAAGCACGAAAAAAGATGATAAAGTGTAGAAATGTAAAAGAAATCAGTAGCGATAAATGAATGCTTACGAATTTAATATATAAAACACTTTTCTTTCATTTCAAAATAGAAATGATATTAATTTTTTGAAATGAAACAAAGAGACCCAATATACTCAAATAGAAATAAAAAAGTGTTTCGAAGGAACCTTCTCTTCTATTGAAAATTTGCCATTGATAAATTATCCGATCATTTTTTCTATGAATATGATTATTCTCTTTCTTATGTTTCTTTTATTATACAAAATATATACAAAATAAAGTGACCGGATACGAATGTGACCTTAAGAATCATTATTTTAGGAATTATGAAATCTTATATTGCTTTGATGTATCACATAAATTCTTTGAAACAAAAAAAAAAGAATTTATTCGAGGTGAAACAAAATATCTCTCATTTTGTCCTTGAATAATTTTTTTTTTGTTTGTTTCCGAGGTAATCTTGTTATAGTGCCTTTACTTTAAACGGTGTATTATTCTCTTGAATCCGGTACCAACTGACATCATTCCCCCTAAAACAACGTTCTCTTTCAAACCTTTCAACCAATCTATGCGACCTCGGAGAGTGGCTTTTGATAAAACTCTAGCAGTTTCTTGAAAACTTGCTTCAGATTTAAAACTTTGAGTATTCAAAGATGTTTTTGTTATCCCCAATAATAGAACTCGATAGCAAACCAAATCTTCTAAGGAACGCCCCTACTCATTCAGCCCACAATAATCCAATTAGTTCACCGGGTAAAAAAACATTAGACATTCCATCTTTTGAAACCAATACTTTTGATGTTATTTGACGCACAATAATTTCTATATGTCTATTAAGAATGTGAACTCCCTAGGATCGATAAACTTTTTGAATTTTATTAACCAAAGAAATCTGACTTTGTGCTATAGTTAGCTCAACACTAATGAAAAATCTCCAAGGAATGCCAAGAATTCTTCTTATATGCCTATTCCAAGTATCAACTCTCTTTTCTAGGTTTATTGATATTGAATCAATCGAACAAACTTCTAATACCCGTTCTACTTTTGGAAGACCTTGCGTTATATCACCTGATCTCGATTTTTGATAAATAAAGGTAACTAATATATCTCCTTCAGAAAGTATTTTTGACCAAGACTTATCATAGGAAATGTTTTTTTTTCGCAATAATCATGATGGAAAAAATTCCAATTCAAATAGAATGAATTTAAAATGATGTTACTAGATAGATCATGTTTATAAATTCTCTCGTTTTCGTCTATTAAATAATAATTTAGTATTTGAAAAGTTTTTTTTAATTTGTCAAGTTGCAAATTTTTAATTATCGAGATCCGATTATGAGTAATTAAATGGTAAAAATAAAAGTTTGCAACTTGAAGGGCTATTCCTAAAGGACCTAACGAAGTCTTAATTGGAATCTTAGGATATCTTTGAATTAGATTAATTCCTTCTTTTATCCCATTGTAATATTTTCCATTGTGGAATGGTCGTATTTGAAAACAATTAGATGATGACAAAATTAGAAAAGATCAGCATTTCTCATTTCTATTCAACAACATATGAATAGTTCCATGATTTTGACTAAGTGATTGTTGAACTTTTTCCCTCAGATCCATAGAAAAAAATGGATTGATGTTGGTCCAGTCTGATTCATTATCCAAGATAAATCTGGAATCAGGCGGATCATTCCGTTTTCTTATATATGAAATATGAGATTTTACTAAGTCAATTTTTAAGAAATATCTAACCAAACCATTTATACTTACTTCAACAAATGAAGCATGCACATTTTCGATAGAAGAAATTTTTTTGTCTTGATCCCAATTTAAGACTAAACAAGTCTGAACTAATTGAATACTTGTATTATAAATTCCCCGAATTGATTTTCCATTTCCAGAAAGAATATAATTAATAACTTGAAGTTCCAGATTATCTCTTTCTTGGAACATATCTTGGGAAAAAAATTGGATTAATTTGATCCTATCTGCTATTTCATATAAAATTACCGGTCGAACCAAAACAAAATACTTTTTTTTCGTAATTGTGATCCATTGGGCATAGATCCAATTTTGAATTTTTTTTTTTGATCCTTTTGAATTTTTTTTTACCGTTCTCGGTGGTATCAACATGGCACTGTGTCGGGATCTCTTATCCATTTCTCCGGGAAAATAGATATTCCCGGAAAATATTTTTAATTGAATCTTTTTTTTTTTCTTCTCCAATCGGACCAACCCACTTACTTGACTTCTTATATTTACAGTGATTGGTGTATCTACTTCAACGATACTATTGTTCCGTACCATTATGGAAGAAAATTCTGGTAAAATATACACTTCTTCGGGAATGAAAAAAAATTGATCTACTTTAATTTGGTATTTTGTCTTAAATTCTTTAACTCCAGGATACTCGATTAAAAAATCCTCTTTTTTTAAAATGTAATTGATATCCATAGTCCTATATTTAGTAATTCCCGAGCTCTGTGTTCGGTATTGAGGATCATCGAAATAAGCAAAAATACTATTTCTATGAAAAATACCATTGATTGGTATTTCAATCGAGATACTGGAAGCTAATATTAGTGCTTTGTCTCGTTCTTGAATCGATTGGAATTGAAATGGAATATTGAATCTATTTCTCCGCCTCTTTGCTAATAAATCCGTAGTATCATGAAAAATAGTAGAATGTGTAAAATGACAATGATTTATACATATGATTTGATTAAATGTTGAATAATCTGAAATCCTTCTTTCTTTTTTATCATAAGGATTGAAACGAAACAACTTATGTTTTACTTTATTATTACTTGCTAAAAGGTTACAAATATCTCTTTCTCCTGTAGAAAGATAATGAATGTTCAATTGATCTTGATCTTTTCGGATTGAAAAAGAGACCGAACCGAACCTGTCTGATTTTCCTGATAAAATCCATAAATGACTTGTTTTTGGTAAGATATGGACATTACTATATTTAAATTCTGATGCATGATACACATCGGTACTCCAATGCATTTCGCCTTCTAAGTCAGAATAAACATGTTTTCGAACTTTTTCTTTTAAATTCAAAGTGTATGTTCCTGCGAGAATCTCGGCAATCACTTGTTCTGATTTTACATGTTGATTATTTTGAACTAATAGAAAACTTTTTGGTGGAATAGTCACATTATGTATAATGTCACCATTTTCAATAGTAACATACAAGTCTATATAACATATAAAGGCAGGATGCCCGTGACGTGTACGTGTAGGATGAACCAAATCCTCATTGAATTGAATTTTTCCATTATAAGGTGCTCGCACCTGTTCTGCAGTACCCCCTGTGAATACTCCGCCAGTATGAAAAGTTCTTAATGTTAATTGAGTGCCCGGTTCTCCAATGGATTGGCCCGCAATAATACCTACAGCTTCTCCTAATTCCACCAAGTGACCATGAGTAGGACTTTGACCATAACACAATCGACAGATCCAAGATGTATTCCTACAGGTAAAAGGAGTTCGTATAGATATTAGTTGTGTTTGAAAGGTTTTAAATCGATTGAGAAGTCCAATTCCAATATCTTGATTTCTAACGGCAATGCATCGTGAACCTCTGTATATATCGTCTGCTAATACACGACCAATTAATGTTTGTATCCAACTACTTTCCGGCATCATTTCATTCTTAGTATTCACTGAAATTCCTCGAATGGTACCACAATCTGTTCGATGTACAACAATATGTTGAACCACTTCAACAAGTCTACGTGTAAGATATCCAACATCTGATGTTCGTACAACAATATCTACAACCCCTTTACGAGCTCCGTAGCAAGAAAATATATATTATGTTAAAGAAAACCCTTCATGTAAATTGCTTTGAATAGGTAAATCAATCATTTGTCCTTGTGGATCCAACATTAATCCTCTCATACCTACTAATTGGTGTACTTGAGATGCATTTCCTCTAGCTCCCGAAAAGGACATTATATGGACTGGATTAAAGGGATCAGTCATTCTAAAATTAGGATTCATTTCTTGTCGAAAATATTCACTTGTAGCATACCATATCTCAATGGATTGGCGTAATTTTTCTACCGCATGTACATTCCCATAATGATGCTGTTTTTCCAAAATCAAATTTTGGTGTTCAGCATCTTGGACTAGCCATCCTTTAGAAGGTATTGTTAAAAGGTCATCAATTCCTAATGAAATGGATGTAGCCGTAGCTTGGCAGAATCCTAGAGTCTTTACTTGATCTAGGATATGTGATGTATATGCCATTCCGAAGTGATCTATTAATCTGCTAATAAGTCGTTTAATGGCAGTTCCACCTATCACTTTATTGTGAAACACTAGATTGGTCCGTTTTGCTATAAATACCTCCCTATTCCACTCAGTGGGATTGATTCAGTTCAACAATGGGTTTGAGTCACCGTTCCCCAGCAACGGCGCCAGAAATACTTGTTGAATTATTGGCAAGCGTACCAAATTATCAATCGCAGTATAATATTTCAATTAAATAAAAGTCGATCTCACGAGGAACAATTTCAATGAAAATTCCCAATTATGCTTACTAAGTAGATTAAAACAGATTAGGTTTTGCAAATAAGAGTTGAATTGAAATTAAATGACAAAGACTTGTAAATTGTTGAGAAAATATCAATTAAAGGTACTTAGGATTGACTTCCTTCCTTATCCCTCTTTTGTAATGACTATGTCAATTAAGAACGTCAATTAACCTAACAATGTTGATGCCACCTACTCAAATCATCCATGTTGATTCCTCACACATGAAATTCATAAGAAAACCTAATAAACGTTGATTCCTCACACAATTAACAGATTTTTCAGCATTAGGGTTAGGGTGTTTAAGCACTTGATACATTCATTCCATTCCTGGCAATTAACGTAACAAATATTCTTACCGTGATCTAGGGTTCAAGATATATTTTCCAATCATACCTCAAACAATCAGGAATAAATCATTCCAAAGCATAGAAGATAAGAATAACAACATCAAAGCATAGATTAATATCTCAAAATATCACCATGATACAGAAGAGTTCAAAGGAAGTGCACCGATTCCTAAGAGAATGAAGTTAGCCACTCATGTTGGCCATTACAATGCTTCAATTGATAAAGGGAAGAATTGATGAAGATTAGACAAAACCCTAACAGTAGTCGTGCCTCCTCTCCTCCAAGACTGCTTCCTTTTCTCAAAACACAACTTATCTTTTTATAAGAGAATTTGGGTCGGACCTTGCATCATTCATTCGCTTAAGTGCTCTTCTTTCTTTCAATTTTACTCCAATTATGCTGACAATTATGCTCCTTACTCTTGTATCAAGGTATTCTCGAATTCATCCTATATTGGGAGAAAAATATATTAGAATTAACATAAGTTAAGTGGTTTCATAACAATTCAAGGCATAATTATATCAACTTTTTACCACTTAACAACTCCCCCCAACCTAGAATCTTGCTTGTCCCAAGCAAAGTAGTTTTTCCAAAACAAAATCATCACCTATTATCTTTTTCTCTTCTAGAACCACAACATAAAAATTTTCAGAGGTGATGCTCACAACTCCAAATGAAAATAGAACACATAAGCATTCAAGTTATAGAAACCAACAAAGAATAATTAGTCCTCAACTATCCTTAGAGAAGCATGATCTCTCAAATAGAGTTATATATACTCATCTCTAATTCTCACAGGTAAGTGTTTATCTCATTCAATCACTTCATTTAGACAATCCAATATTGATAATCATCTTCAAGTAATCAACAATTGTTAAACAAGACTTAAATCAAAAGGTCTTTTGAGGCTTGTAATGGGGCTGAGCTAAGAAAGAATTATTGGTTTTTCTGGGATATACAAAAATATTTGAGAAATTCAACTCATATGAATGATTCTTGATTAACAATTTCTCAAGTCAGGTTTCAAACTTTATGCTTTTGTCCCTAACACAATGACAATGAGTTAATAATCTCACAAGTTATTACCCCCCTTTTGACTTTTTTTTTTTTTTTTTTTTTTTAACATGTATCCTTTTTTTGGCTTTGCAAATTTTTAAGCTTTGATTTTCCTTTTTCTTTACACTTTTTTTTTTTTAACAATAACACCCCAACAATACCTGTAGGACAACAATAACAATACCCAACAATAAGAAAAATAGTGACATTCATACTCATTTCCTTTCTCAAATATAGGAAGGTGGATAAATAGTGTTTAGGCTTAAGGGTTCTGTTTAAGAAACAATATTAATTTTTTTTTGGCTCAGAAGGGGTTCAAATGGATGTCCTATAATTAATGCATGGTTGGCTATTTAGCTCTGGGTTATATCTACTACAAAGAAAAAATGCCTTTATCATTTTCAAGTCTTGCTAACATGTAATCACATCAAAGAATCAACCAATATCAGTTATCATCACAAAGTGTTGACACTCAATTTATCTGTTTGTGGTACTCTGCTCTCCTGGGTTTTGGCTAGCTTCTCCAACTCAGTTAATTACTAATTTTCCTCATCAATTCCTTTTCACTATCATACTCAATATCCCAAAATCACTTGTTATTGGAAACAATCAAAATTATTTTTCACGTTCTAGATTTGAATTAGACAATAAGCAATAATCTCATATATGGATCTAAAATAAATTATGGGACAACAAGGGAATTCAAAATTTAAAATAAAACAATTAAAAACATTAAATTAAAAACAAAGGAATTAAAAACATTAAAAGTAAAGTAAGTTTCCTCCCTCATTTTCTTCACTTGTCATGTACTCCTTATCTTGTGCCTCAGCCTCAGCTGCAGACTTTCTCACCCCCTCCAGAAAAGTTAGACTGTCCCCAGGCTATTGAAGTAAGACTTCAAAGTCTTGAGGAGAAGTGCACTGTGTACCTGGAGCAATTTTGCAAAGAAAGAACCTAAGGAAGAAAAATGCACAAAAAAATTTAAACTGCAAAAAGAAAAAAAACAAATTCAAAACATTGGGTTGCCTCCCAGGAGCGCTTGTTTAACGTTTTCAGCTTGGTACCTATTTGCTTTAGGGCTCATGCAGGTGAGTGATCAAGGTGATATATACGCATTCTCCATCCCTTAACTGTCCTTGTGGGAACAAATTTATTCTTTTCATTGCGAATAACCTTACAAGCTGTCGAGAGATTGGATAAATCATACACGCTTCAAGAGGTTTCGAGTACCTCTCTTTGAATAACTTCCTTCATAGTCGAGACTAAGATGTCTTTGGGGTTGTGCAACACGCTTGTAATCTTGTTTTTCAGTTAAGATGGTTAATTCCTCCAAAGTGTCTATTCTGAGACAATCTTTTTTGTCTCCGGTTGTTGTACAGCTTCAAACAGATTAAAATTAACTTCATCATCTCCATTTCTAATTTTCAACTTGCCCATGTCAACATCTATAATTACTTTGGCAGTCTTCATAAATGGTCTTCCCAGGATCAATGGGACTTCCTCATTTTCCTCCATGTCCATAATCACAAAATCAACAGGAAATATGAATTTGTCCACTCTAACTAAAACATCTTCTTGCTACTCCATAAGGAATCTTTAGAGATCTCGTCGACTAGTTGCAATGTCATTCTTGTAGGCTTTACTTCCAAGTCTCCTATTCTTTTGAGCATAGATAATGGCATGAGGTTTATACTGGCCCCTAAATCAAGCAATGATTTTTTCACCAGTAATTCACCAATTGTGACTGGTATAGTGAAACTTCCAGGGTCCTTGGACTTTTGAGGCAATGATTTTTGGAATATAGCACTGCATCCTCGCCTTTAACTCTACTTGTTTCATCGAGTAAATCTTTTTTCTTAGTTAAGAGCTCTTTCATGAATTTGGCATATGTTGGCATTTGCTCCATAGCTTCCACAAATGATATATTAATTTGCAATTGCTTGAAAATATCCATGAATCTTGCAAGCTTGTCTTTCTTTATCTATTTGTGAAGGAGCCTTGGGATACGGTAACTTCTCTACAAATGGTTTTTGACTCCCTCCTTTTTCTATCTTCTCTTCGTTCTTCTTTTTAGGAATATGTCTTTCTTTATTATTCTCATCTTCTTGCTTTTCATCTTCTTTTACCAAAACTTCTTCTTCAACAACTATATTGTCACCAATCCCCTTACCTACAACTTTTCCACTCCTTGTAGTTATTGAATTGCATTGCTCCTTTGGATTGGTTTGTGTGTTAGCTGAAAACTTGTCCTCCTTGTTCTTCGCTCGAGATAATTGCTTAGCCAGTTGGCCTATTTGGGTCTCTATATTTCCGAATGAAGCCTCGGTATTTTTCGATTAACCATAGTGCTTTGCATAAATTTTTCTACAATATCCTCCAATTTACTTATTCAGTCAAGCAATCGAAGGATAATGTTCATATCTGCTTGTTGATATGGAGGTTGCTTGATATGATCTGTTGTTGAAATGCGAGGTTGTCCTTGTTCCCACCCAAAATTTTGATTCGATTTTGATTCCCTCTCCATCCTTGTGCAAAATTATTCGATAATTATTGAGATTAGGAAAATTACCTTGTCTCGCCTTGACTACTACCTTGGGCCCCCATATAATTAGTTTCTTCTTCGTTGAATGTTGCCTTGATAAGAGCATTGTTCATTTGAATGACCACCTCTACACAAATCACAACTCATCTGTTGATTAAGAATAATTTGTACTTGTGTGCATTTGATGAGGTAATTTCTCTATTTTACGGTTCAATGCTTCAATTTGTTGGGTCAAAATTTTATTCGGGCTAAGAGAGCATCCGTGGTGTTAAGTTCAAAGACTCCTTTCCTTTGAATTGGATGTCTATCATGTTGGGCCTGTTGGTGCTGTAAAGGCTAGTGCATCAATAATTCGGTGGCATGATCAATTTCTACATCCAACATAGATCCTCCTGCTGCAGCCTCTAATAACATCTTTGCATCATGTCGCAAGCCGAGTATAGAAAATATTCAAGCGAGAAACGTCATCAAATCATGATTTGGGCAACTTCTCAACGGTGATTTAAATTTCTCCCATGCTTCACAAAATTGCTCATCTGCTCCTTGTCCGAAAGAAGTGATGTCGATTTGGCTTTGATGTAGCGGGATGGTGGGAAAAATCTGTTCGAAACTTCTCTTCTACACTTACTCCAATTAGTCAAACTCGATTAGGATGTGCTTTCAGCCATTCTTTTGCCTTACCCGCAAAGAAAAAGGAAATAATATCAAATATGCAGATTCAAGATTTGTTGCTCTAAATCCCATGGTACCAATCAACTCATAAAAA